TAGGAGCACTAGAGGATGGTGAAATTCTCACACTACCTAAGTCAGCACAAATGCAATTAGTACACAAAAAAATAAATGACCAAATACATAAACCATATGAAAGAAATGAACGAAGTTATAATAAAAGAAGTCGTTTTGTATCATATAAGCCAGGTCAAGAAGTCTTTCGAAAAAATTTTGTCCAGAGCAATTTTGCAAAAGGCATAAATGCAAAACTTTGCAAGCCTTGGTTGAAATGTCGCATTAGAAAACAAATTGGCAATAACCAATATGAAGTTGAAAACCTAAAGGGCCAATTGATAGGTATAATACATGCTCAACATCTCAAGCAGTAACACATGTATGTGAATAAAAAAAATATGTATAAAATCTCATAAAAACTTTCATGTTGTTTAAAAAAACACTAAACACTATTCTAATAATAGCTTAACGCTAACGCATATACATATTTCTCATAAACAATGTTCATCATTAATGGCCACCCTCTCACCAGAACATCAATATTCATCCTGTTCTTCAACATACCCACATATTCACCTGTAAAAAAAAAACATCAGAAATTGTGAAAATTAATGTTACCTAAAATATAGGATTTTTATTAAGAATGTCAATAATTATATCATAATAAACTTATCTGAAAAAGTAATTTGCCAAATAAAAGTTTGTGTATCCTGTGTCCGGTTACATTTTCATTGCAAATTTATGCAATAATGTCCTTTTCATAATGCCAAATAACAAACTGCATATATAAAGTGTGGTTGCACAACTCATATGAACAAAACACCATCAGATCACAATATATATATAATAAAATTCATTTTGTTTGACGCCTGTAATAAACAGAAAAGCATTAGCAAAAATAAATAATATCAATAAAATGTAGAATGTATATAGTAATTACATCACCGTAGTTTTCATATTTATGAATGTAAATATAATACGGCCAGGTACTGACAATGATGTAATAACATTGTTGTTAAACGAATGTAACACCAATGAACCATCAGTCAGAGAGAGATTCACCATCATAAATAATAATGTAGGTAGTAGGCAGGTAATACTTTATCTAAACCATTTTTGTTTACCGCACGGAATGGCATACATTTTGCATACACAGGTATGCGAATCTGTAAAAAAAAGCCAAAACATGTTACTTGAAATAATGCAAAATAAATTAGATATACGTACCTACAACGGCTATCGACGAGATGTGTGTTCCCATAATTTTATTGACTTGGTATTTTTTTTTTGTAACTTTCTTATTCCTTGGCAATGATTGACGCACACATATTGTTGTGTAATAAAATAATTGTATACATGGGTGCAGATACATTAACCACTGCAATCAAACCAAACAAACACACAGTAGTCAAACATTACAACGTTCCCAATTTTTTTCTCGTCACAGGCTTTGAGAAAAAAAATGGCTTTGTGACGACCAAATATATTATCTGTTTTGCCACATCTATTTTGACTATTTGAAAATAAACTAATCATTCACAATAACAGCTGTCAAGAATGATCGAAATCCACATCAGAGTTGCCATATGAACAACATTTTGCAAACACATAGAATACATCATCGATTCCAATTAAGTTGGCTGCAGAGCCATAAATTTCTTTCTCTTTTAAAAAAAAACATCACACGTGAAGCAACATATCGAAGCGGAAAAAAAGAAGAAGCCAATTTAAAGTGAAAAAAATAGAATTACACAACTTTTTAAAAATAATAATAATCCAAGTGTCTTCGTACGTAAAAAAAATCTTAAAATCTTCTTCACGATTAAAAAGTAAAAAAGAGAATTAAAAATAATTTAACAGATTGGAGGTAAGCTTTGTTTTTTTAAGAAAATGGCATGTAATTTATTAAAAAAATAGATTATAAAAAATATATGTGTATGTTCTTAAAATTCACTAATATTAAAAGTAATTTTTTTTCATATCATGTGTTATAATTTATAACATGTGATATTCCAAGTACAGCACTGAACTTACACATCTATTTATACTATAGACAATGTCATTATGATTGTGCCTATAATTCACATAAGAAATAACATTCTATACTACTCTTCTCTAAAAAAATATGATTTTTTTTGAAACCTAGTAGCATAAGGAACTTAAATTCCATACAGACAATTTGCCCATATAATCCTCATAATTTATATTCAATTTGAACTAATACCAAATATAACCATTAGGGACAGAAAAATACGAAAGGCGTACGGAACACCACTTATATATGGAGTGAACACCACACCATCTACTGTACATCAAAACACATGTACATCATACAGTACATCCATAACCTCAACTTGCCGATCAACCGGTTGACTTTGACGAAATAGCGTACAGTAATTTCTGGATAAAAGCAACGACTTTTAAGACAGTAAGTTGAGTGTTATTTTGCTTTTCCCTCCAGTCTTTGTTATACTTATATGATTATGATGTCTAATTGAATGTTTGAATTTGAAAAAGTACGAAAAAGCCAATTTTTTTATACGTATATATATAGCTGTTAAAAATTAAAAATAGGAAACAAAGAAATAAACAAAAATACTATATAAAAAAAATCAGATTAAAACAAACAAATAAAATTCAAATAATTTGTGTGAATAAAATATCATTATCTAAGTACATTGAAAAATAATAATATATATATAAATACAAAGAAGAAAACAAATATACTAGAATACATATCTATAAAAACGGATATAAAAACAATTAATTCTAAATTAAAGTAAAAAAAAAATATAAAAATAGTAATATTGAATTTAATTATATCCTTTTTAATAAAAAAATATCAATCTAAAAATGTAAAATTATTTTCTTTATCATATATATATATATATATATATAATCGCTATAATTGTAAGATTTATAATTATTAAACAAATCTATCCACATATGAATAAAATTAACTATTTATACCTGTATATGTGTTAAATACAATATGTGTTAATATATTAATTCAAAAAGGCTGAAAGCGTAAAGGTCGAGCAAAAACTATTTAATTAGGGGCATTTTCTTTAAAATTAAATGGCTATCGAAAATGTCATGGATGACTGAGAAAGTCACATGGGGTGGGATAGCCACAGAAGCAAAACATCAAAGCTTCTCTAAAGAGATTTGGTTAGACGATTTTAATTTATAATAAAAACAATAACAAAATTATTAAAACTTTTAAAGAGAATCGCCGTTACAATTTATTACAAAAGAAACGCATTTTGAAAAGTGGTACACAATTCAAATGTGCAACCTCAAGCGGAAAAGAACCTCCCCATCCGGCGAGCTAAGCCACAGCCGACAGCTATAGTATCACATTCGCTACACCAATTGAGAGGTTTGTCACATGCTCTCTAGTTCTTCGCCGAGTTGCATTTTGCCATCCGTCAAACCTAATGGGTTGACGTAAAAATACCACCCTGCGATTGGCATCACTTCTTTGCGAAGATGTCTGCACAACAACCTGGTTCCGCTTCATTTTTTTGTGGTTGGCTGCAACCATGATGCAATAATAAGGTGATGTATCAAAACAAAAACATTTTTTGCCTCGATCATGATGCAATAATAAGGTGATGTATCAAAACAAAAACATTTTTTTGTCTCGATTATCTGTCAAATTTTTCCTTATAATATTTCAAAAATTTGGCAGCATTGCACATCGAATTCAAGTAAAATTTACCACTTTGACAGTTAATCAAGACATCAGCTGCTCTAAATGGACTACCTATTCATTGTGCCATGATCTCGATTATCTCTCAAATTTTTCCTTATAATATTTCAAAAATTTGGCAGCATTGCACATCGAATTTAAGTAAAATTGACCACTTTGACAGTTAATCAAGACATCAGCTGCTCTAAATGGACTACCTATTCATTGTGCCATGGCTGCAAAATTCGGTTGGCGGTGAAAATGCCGTCCGACTACTTTTTCTTTAAAAGACATTTAAGTATTTATTTGGGACACCCAACAAGTTCATACGAGAGCTATACACTCCCAGACAAACGTGTCAAAATTTGAAAACGATTGGATTATTAGTTTTTGAGTTATCGTGCCCGCGATTTATAAAAAACTATTTCGAGAAAAATGGGTTTAAAGTTTGAGAATCACTCTTGTCGTCACTTGATGCTGACACAATAAATCGGCTATATCTTCAAGAGTTGTTGAGATTTTCACTTAAAATTTTGTAGGGACATTCTAGAATTAGAGTAGATTCGAATTAAATAAAAAAATTGACACCCAGAATGGGGGTGTCCTTAAGAGAAAAACAGTAAGTTCATCTTCTTAGAAGTAAACAATTTAAATTAAATAAATATGGCAATATATTTCAAGCACCAGCTGACTTTCATTTAAATATGATTTTAAAGCCGGTGTAATAGTTCGTTTACATTTAGCCGGATTTCGTTAATCTAGTGGGTTTCAATTATCAATTACTTTGCATATATGTCAAATAAATTCTCATAAAGTAGATTAACCCGGTAAAAAGTTCTAATGTATATGCCGTTTAAATAACCTTAATTTATTTTCATCGACATAATAAAAAGTGTGTATGTATATGCACTATATGACGTTCTTTACACAGGAAAATGTTGTCTTGTTTAAAAGCATGCAAAGACATTCATTTTTGGGAGAATAAATTGAAAAAAAAAAATAATTAGTGACAACAAATTAAGAACGTGAACAATCAATAACTTCTTTGTTTTTTATTTTATGTTTGTTTTTGATTTTGACAATTCTTTTAAATTAAGGTAATATTTAATATATTGCTCTTTTACTACATTTATTTACAAAAAGTACAGGAACTGTGCTTATGTATGTTCCCCTATAGTTCAATTCCGATCATTCATTACACGGGCCGGACGTTTGAACTAGTTCGTTCCGGAACCCTACATGGCACAACTTAGTCAGCTGTTTAATATTTTGATTCATTACGTGCATTTATTTTATTATATTATTTAATGATATAAATTTTTACCTGTTGCGGTTGTTATTAACATTAAATAAATGAGTTTTCTTTTCGATTTAATAAAAACATTTATAAATAAAATGTTGGCAATTTTGTCATTCGGGAAGAAAACCATTACCAACACTTTGAATATATATGTTAAGACTAACACTGGAAAGACATTGTCAGTGAATTTGGAACCGCAGTGGGACATAAAAAATGTGAAAGAAATTGTTGCTCCCCAGTTGGGATTACAGCCTGAGGAAGTTAAAATTATATTTGCTGGGAAAGAATTAAGCGACGCTACGACTATTAAGGTTAGAAATGACAGAATTGAGATTAACACGATGTTACGTTATATTATTGTCAAAAGGAGTGTGATTTGGGTCAACAAAGTATACTACATGCAATACGTACTCGACCGGTGAAAGAAAGGAAACGGTTGCAGTCCACCGTGGCGGAAGAAGAGCCCGAAGAACAACCATCAAAGCCACTGTGCGAAACATTGGTCGATTTGCAATTACTTTCTGAAGAAAGAAGTAATATTAGCGAGGATGGTAATGTTATAATAATGACTTATTTCTAGATATGACTAACAAGTACTGAGTTATAGATCGCGAGCGCACAAAAGCTCATTTCTTCGTACATTGTTCTCAATGTGGTAAATTGTGTAGGGGGAAATTACGTGTTCGCTGTTCCATATGCAAAGGAGGTGCATTTACCGTACATAGGGATCCAGAATGTTGGGATGATGTTCTAAAATCTCGACGAATTCGAGGTCATTGCGAATCTTTGGAAATTGCCTGTGTCGATAACCAAGGCGGCGATCCACCTTTTGCTGAATTTTATTTTAAATGTGCTGAACATGTTTCCGGTGGAGAAAAAGATTTTGCCGCACCCTTAAATTTAATCAAAAACAACATAAACGACGTACCTTGCTTAGCATGTACCGATGTAAGGTAAGTATATATAACTTAAACTATTGCTCACGAGCCTTAAAGTCATATCGTTCATTTGCTGCATACTCTGTTCACATGCGCATTTTTGAAATTTGGTTTGCTTCCTCAATTTAATTTTTTTTTCAAGTTATTTTCTACCATAAATTCATGGTACAATTATTCAAGGCCATAGCAACTTATATATTACAACTAGCTGACCCGGCAAACGTTGTTTTGCGTTATCATTATTACGTCAATATAAGGTCGGTAAAAAACATTTACCACAAAGTTTATGTAAATAAAAGGTATTAGGTTAGTCTTGATTTAGATTGGGCGAGTTTACTTGCGACAAGTCTTTGTTTGTAGGAGAGAGGCGCAAGGGGAATAGAAATGAAAAAAAAATGCTCGTACCGACAATTTTCTGGCAATTCGTTTTGTGTATTTCGGATTTGTTGACATTTTATATAGATTTGAAGGTGAAAAAACAACAAATAGAAAAATATTTTGGAAACCGAATTGCCTTGTATAAACGCATGAAGCAAGTTCAAAAGAGAACGACAAGAATTGCCGCAAGTAAACTCGTCTATCTAAATCAAGACTTAGGGATGTACGGTTGTTGTGGCAACCGTCCACTCGGAGACTATGTCCATTGTGATCATCATTTATGTATAATATACCTGTAAAGAAAAGAGAGAGTGGAAGAGTAGGGAGAAAAGATAGTGAGAGAAAAGGAGAGGAAGAGAGGTTATTTTAGCCAAGTCAAATTTTTGACAAAACCTAGAATTTGGTTTGGGTCTATTTTGGAGAAGAAGACTAGATTATAAATTTCATATCTTCCAAATTGTTTATGTCTTCTGCTAATCAGCGATTGACATTTGCAGATGATGTGTTCAATTGTTTCTTCTCTACTGGAGTCCCACATAGAAGTGAGAGATCTAATTTGCAGTGACCTGTTATAATCCCCACAACGATTTTGATCTCCCTCTTATTGTGTTTCAGATGCGAAGACGTTCTTTTACGAGAGAATTCAGGCCAGATAGATTTTGAGATTCTGCAAGCAGGTTCCCTTAGCCATCTGTTACCAACTACCTCGCAATGGAACGCACGGATTCTGCCAATGAAATAGCTGATGGGAGGTTTCACAGATCTCTCAATCAGAAGATTGGACGACTGTGAGCCCCCTCAAGCAAGCTCGTCGGCTATCTCATTCCCTTCAATGTCACTATGTCCTGGAACCCAACATAAACCAACTATCTGTCGACTTACAATCATGTCGCATACTATAAACTCGAAAGCAGTTTTATAGTATGCGACTTCACCGCTTTTAGGGCCGCCTGACTATCGACATATATAGTTGCCGGTCCCGTGATGTCGGCATTAAGTGCTTTTACTATCTCGGCCGCATTCGTGATTGCAAGAATCTCTGCTTAAAAACGCTACAGTTATTGTTGAGTTTATATAAGTTGTATGTTCCTAATTCCCTACAGTAAACGCCTGCGCCAGTGCCTTCCTCCATTTTAGACCCGTCTGTAAAGATTGACAGACCTGGCAGAGGTAAGGAACCACTAGTCCAGGATTCTCTACTAGGAAATTCATCTTTGATGTCATTAAAGTCCCTATGAGGGGGAATATAGTCACTGATATGACTATCCCCCCTAAAAAAGGTCATAACCTGGCGTTATGTTATATGTTTAGGATGCTGGCATGACCATAGTTCAGCGATTTCAAGGCATCTGTTTCCCGGAGCCTCAGGGCACACCTGGCCGCCTGGAATTTAATCAGAATATCCAATGGTTGAAGATTCAAAATTGCGTTCAAGGCTGCCTGTGGTGTACTTCTTAATGCTCCGGTGATCAGGATTGAAGCCGATCGCTGTACTAAGCTCAATTTTGTCAGCAGCATCTTTTTGTTAACCCCCTGGCACCAAACAAGACAACCATAGGTAAGTATGGGTAAGACGATCGTCGTATACAGCCAGAGTATAATTTCGGGTCTCAATCCCAAGCTCTTACCTATTGAATTCTTGCATGAATAGAGTGCCAGCAATCCCTGCTTAGAGAGTTCCTCAACATTCCTATTCCACAATAGTTTGCGATCTAGGATGGTGCCAGAAAGGGTTAAAGTCACTCCTCCAAGTGATGGCAGACGGAAACTATGAATCGTGCGCTTCCTAGTGAAGAGCACCAGTTCGGTTTTAGTGGGGTTTACACCAAGACCTTTGGTGCAAGCCCAATTAGACAGGTTTGAAAGGGCACCCTCCAGGATGTCTGCAATTGTCGTTAGAAACTTACCCTCAACCAGCAGGACTACATCATCGGCATAGGCTACAACCTTTATCCGGAGATGATTGAATTTCATAAGTATCTCATTTATCACCAGAAGCCACAAAAGGGGGATAATACTCCTCCCTGTGGTGTGCCTCTGTTGACAGGTTTCCTAACGGAACTCTCTCCTAAGGATGATTTGATAATTCTGCTTTCCAGCATTCTATCAATCCATTCCGTAAGGGGTGAGGCGATACCTATGCTTACGAGAGCAGAATGGATGGCTTCTAGCTTCACATTGTTGAAAGCTCTCTCAATATCGAGGAATGCTGTCAACGTGTAACCAGAGGACTCCATATTCTTCTCGATGCATCCAACCACCTCATGCAGGGCTGTATCCACTGATCTGCCTTTGAGGTAAGCATGCTGGGATTTACTGAGTTTACTATGGTTAACAACTTGAATCCAATTTAACATTTAAATCGGAAGACAAAACTTCAAATATCTGAGGGGAATGCTTATAATGCTATCATTACCATTATTTTCGTCGATGTTAATGATCACATTATTAGTATTAGAACATACACATATTTTATGAAATTAGAAATTTTGATCTAACTAACCCAAAAAACATATGTCTTAAAAGCAATTTATTTAAACATTAAAGCTCGATACAAAAATTGGGGAATTTTAAATATTACTTAATATATTTGTTTTGGCGGAATTAGTTTGCATACGATTTATAAGTCCTTTGAATCGTCAAAATCGGTGCAGTGTTCTTGAGTTATAAACGATGTAACTAACACAACGTTCGATTATTCCAATTTCCCGACTTTTTGATGATTTTCTCAACATATTCTTCGTAAAAATCTACCCAATGCAATTACAAATAGCAGAAGGAAAACGTGAGCGAAATTGTTTCAGTCAATACACCATGCAAACACTTTTCACAGCTTTAAAATACATTTGTGGAACCATAAAGGCACATATAAGTTAGACACAAACAGCATGCAATGCGGAATTGCCTCCATGTAAGATTCGAATTTAAATATATTCTTCCCGAATTTAAGAAAATGTTCAATAATGCCTTCGTATTTTGTTGACGTGTTTGTATGATCAAGTTTCGGTCAGTGGCCTTAGATATCACATGAGATATGTGTTGTATTTATAAGTTCAAAACAATTTGTTCGATTATTGTGCGTTTTTAAGTATGTTTATCCGGTTTTAAGTACTTGGAAAGTAGTAACAAAATATCCATTTATCCGTTGTTTGTATAGGCTCCACATAATGGAACCGCTTAATCTTTGATTTACCATGTCTTACTGTGTTTTAAAAAATACCACTGAGAAACGTTTGAAATTTGTACTGCAGATAGTGCTTTTGATTCTAGCTCTGTCTGTTTACTCGATATTTGGTAACAATTGTTAGCAAATGTTACTAAATGTTGTCTGTTTACACAAAAAATCCAGTAAAAGAAAGTCAAGTGAGAGAGCAAGTTTGACAGTTCAACAACAACAAACTTACTGGAGTTTACAGAAAGAATTTTATCCAGTTTTAAAATTATTTTTGATCTTGTTTGTTGAGGTAATTATTATACAATCTACGGGACTCAATGGTATATTTGGACCTAGCAACAGAATAATTAGCGTAGTCTATAGATGAGCCTGACTTCTTATATTACATGAACTTTCGTTAATTGTAGAATTATATATAATGTTGGATGATAAGAGAATTAAGCTTTCGAAAATTTGCTTTTTTATAGTTAAGAATATTTTTAAATGAGTTACATGAACTTTCGTTAATTGTAGAATTATATATAATGTTGGATGATAATTATCGTCCGGAGTACATATAGCAGGAATTCGAATTAACTCAAAAAATTGTGTAAAGTTTACAAATACTAGATCAAGGATTCTATCATTACAATTTAAAATATTATTTATTTGAAGAAGATTAATTTCACAAAATCGATTACCAATACCAACTGTATACTGGTTTACATTTGCTTCAGATGTCAACGGCGTTAAACTTTCTGAGTCTGGCAATGAGAGCCACTTTACAGATGGCATATTAAAATCACCAAGAACTAAAATTCTATCGGAATCATTCATAAAATGCAAAATGCTGATTATAAACATTAAGATGTGATGAGGGTGGTATATATGAGCACGTAACGAATAATTTAAATTTACCCAATTCAATTGATATGCAGATAAATTCTATGTCAGAAAAACAATTTAATTTAATTAAATTAGTGGAAAAAAATAAATTCTAAAATCCAGTTTTTTAAAGATTAATTCTACCACACCGGTATGCTGAAATGGCTTAAATGCACTTTGCGGACACCTCTCAGTAAATTTTGAAATTTTTACCATCTGATGCTAATTTCAAAAACATTTTTTTCTTGGGGAAATCAGCAAGTCTCCAGGTATGTGGTTCCAAATTTAAAAAATATACCCCCAATTTAAAAAAATGCCACTGAGAAACGTTTGAAATTTGTACTGCAGATAGTGCTTTTGATTCTAGCTCTGTCTGTTTAATCGATATTTGGTAACAATTGTTACCAAATGTTACTAAATGTTGTCTGTTTACACAAATATACAGTAAAAGAAAGTCAAGTGAGAGATCAAGTTTGACAGTTCAACAACAACAGACTTACTGGAGTTTACTGAAAGAATTTTATCCAGTAAGATTTTGCAAACTCAGCATTTTTGGATCAGCTGTTTTATGACCAAACTCAAAAATTATTCAAAACATTTTTTTAATTTGCAAAGTTCAATTTGAAATGAAGTTGTATAAAAATTACTGAAAATGGAAGAAAATTCGTAAGTAATGCAAAGTTTCATTAAATTAGAAATTAATTTCTTATATATTTTTAGGCAAATTTCAGATAGAGGGCAATGTGTTGGTGCAGGAAGCTTAAATGTTCCCGGGGAACATACCAAATCAATTTTTAATATTAAATGCAATACAAATAATTGTGTTTGTCCTTTGTTTGTTTATTTTGACGCAAATTAAATGTTTTCTTGAATCAGCTGTTTATTTGCTAAATCTTACTAAATGTTGTCTGTTTACTTTTCTCAGCATTATCGCAAAAGAGAGTAAAAAAGGCTTACTCTCTGAGCTAGAACTTACTGAATAAATGTTACTGGAAAAGTAACCAGACACACCTACTGATAATAAACTTTTTAATAACCAATTTCCGGAAAGATGGGGTTCCAAAATAAAAAAAAAACATATGGGTTTTATCTGTTTGCTATAAGGATTTTTATTAGTTTCTTTAAGAGTCTCAGCTCTGATTGTGCTGGTTCAGCAGAAGTATGTACACTGTAGTGCAATTCTGTAACTTTTTTCAATGTTACCGACAAATATCGGGAACATACATGTCGGTAGGGCTTAGCGACTGCTTTATTGTCATCGTCAACTTACTGAATATTTCGTTAATCAACGAAATTATAAGCAAATGAAGATTTGCAGTTATCGACAATTATTATGCAGTTACAATTCTGTCGTTAATCAGATACAAAATAGCACTACTGATTACTTAAAGATGTTACTATTATGAGAGGAAGTCCATACTTCTTGAGAAATGGAATTTGGAAAAAATCGACTGGTGCCAGGGAGTTAGTCATAAAGCTCATTAAATATGCTTTTAATTTCATCATGTATAAATATTTCTAATTTTGCTCGCGTAGCCCAATTTTCCACCTATCCATAAAAGATCCGGCTTAAGGCTTAAAATGTTAAAAATATTTCAAAAGGACAAACCGGCATTTATTTTTATTTATTCTGGCATTATAGGCCATAATGAAGAGGTGTATTTTTTCTTTGTTGACAAAAGAAACCCTACCTTGCATAATTGTACCTTGCATACATTTATCTCCAATTGCTAACAAAGAAAACAACTAATTTTTAGGTTGTAAGTGGCAATCATATGGTTTTATACTTTTTATTTTATTGTTTGTAACAACGTTACCACCTAATATCCAACGGGGCGTACAAAAATATTCAACTTCCCAACTATGACAAATGTTGTGTACGGCCGTGTTACCCAAATACGTCGAATCCAAATCTTCAAGTTAACAATACAAATTTTAGAACAAAATTAAAAAATTATAACCTAATATCCAAATATTTTATGTTCTCATTCAAGATTTCATATTTTCTTTATATTGTTCATTTTAAAATTTTGTACGGTCGACATATTTCGGTAACATTATTAATGTTAATGTTTTTATTTGTGGCGTGTTTTTATTTTGTGGCGAAAAACGTTGAACGAGCTAGTCGAATTTTAGGAAGAGCCAAGGTGTATCTAAGTTGTCAAAACTGCCCCCAGGTCGGCAGCTTTGGACAAGGCTTGGAACTTTTGAACGGCATTGATTTTTACAGTGACTATGTTCAAATATATTTACATTTTTTTATTCATACGTATCAGATGTGCATTTATTTATTTAGAATATAAAAATAAATTTTCCATTATTAAAAAATTCAGATCAAAACATATTGAAGCATAAAGAGACATAAAAACAACAATTAACATGATGAAAATTACATTTAATTTCTTTTATTAGTAATCCATTTGAAATTTAAAGAAATCGAAGCCAACATTTAACAAATCGGGTTTTTTCTCTAGATTACTTGACATGAGTATTTTTTACTCGAGTTTACTGGACAGGATACTACCAATGAATTTTTTCTGCGGCCTATAACAATTAACAAATTATAAGTTTACAGTGCGAAAATATGTTCACTCCTCTACATTTTGTCGACAACTAAAAAAGCTAGCAAAAGTTATTTACGATGCTAGAGAACATATTGTCTAAAAAATACATTTGTTGCGGGTCGGAAAAAATGTTAAACCGAGTTTTTATGAGCGCTGTTCAAAGGTGCCCCACGTTCAAAGTCTACGTACAAAAAAAAAAAACTAAAAATTGAGAATTTCTGTTAGAATGAAAAAGTCGGACATTATCAGCAAAATGTTTTCGTTTGCTATATTTCATAGTTTTTAAGCAAAAGGACAAACATCGAACATGGAAGTAGTTTTCAAAAGAATATACAAAAAAACCTCTTTCATATAGATAATAGTTAGGATTACATTGTTTCCCAAAAACTTGTTTTAAAACACCCATTTACGTGCTTAATTTCAAAAATCAAGAACAGAAATGACATAAACAAATCGATATTGTCGGCAAATATAATATATTCAAAGGAAAATGCTGAACACAATCACAAACATCATTAATGTATAACATAAAAAGGAGTGGCGAAGAATTTCTGTTATATACATATTTTTGAGAGTTTAAGGCACCAGATTGCAAGACGGGCGAGACAAATGAAGGAGATTGAATAGCTTGGCGCGGAGAATGTAGTATTAATGGAATCAAAATCTTTAGAAAGGTCTAGTATGCTCAATATACAAGGGAACTTTTTATCAAGCGGGCGACGAATATCATCCGCCAGTCGAAGCAATAATGATCCAGGTTTTAATCGCACCAACAATGTGTATCAGATTAGATTTCAAAACATTTTTCACTTAATCAAATTTTATTGAATCTTGTACACCACATCATAAATGTTTACTTATAAAATGCCAAATAAATCAAATGTATTACTTTTATTTACTACAGTGATACTGTTTTAGTATTTCCGTGTGAATCTAAGCACGTAACATGCATCGAATGTTTTCTTCACTACATCCGCTCACGCCTAATGGAGCGGCAATTCATGCCTCATCCGGAAATTGGATATACATTGTCTTGCCCTGCCGGATGTCAAAACTCGTTTATTGAAGAAATACATCATTTTAAGTTGTTGACCAGAGATGAATATGACAGATATCAAAGATTCGCAACCGAAGAATATGTTCTGCAAGCAGGTGGAGTACTATGCCCGCAACCGGGGTGTGGAATGGGCCTATTGGTGGAGCCGGACTGTACAAAAGTAACATGTCAAAATGGTTGCGGAGTAAGTTCGAAGTACATTAATAAAATTAACCATTTATATAACATTTAATTTTATGTTGTAGTACGTTTTTTGTCGTAATTGTCTACAAGGATATCATTTAGGAGAATGTTTACCGGAAAACGAAACCAATAATAACACTGGAAATTGTGAATATACTGTAGATCCAAATGTAAGTAAACCCATGGTCTTATGAATCAATCACTAAATTTTAAATACACCATGTAAATGTTGTGTTTTAATGGAAACAATTTGCATTGATTTCGTGTTGATGTATGATCTTCATTAGGTACCACACTCGCATAGTGGAGCGTCCCGTGATGTCGTGTAACAAAATTACAATAACTATATGCATGTTAAGTAGGAGAATGGTCTATAACATTTAGATGATATTAATATAAGTTTCTGACTTCCACTATAAAAAAAATCGATTGTGTTTGTCACAAATTCGTGTAAAAAATTTAAAAAATAATTATTTTGGCAATATTTTACTTACCTCTCCAAACAGTTATTTTGAAAAATATCCCCTTCCTCCTTTTATTCTCTATCCTTAATCCCTAGTTTCTAAGGGATATCTAAAAATTAAAAAGTAATATAACCTCGGATTTCCTATTTCCATTTCCTAAAATAAATTATTCTTTCTTGTTTACAGATTTCAGTGCATGATTTGTATTTCTTAATAATGCATAATTGAGTGTGAAGTGAGTGTATATTCACTTGAAACCCCATTTATTCATAATCAGAAAACAATTCTATGTCGATTTAGCCATATCCGTTTGTCTGATTATACAGATCTTGGAAATTTTGTACATACATTGCTTCTACATCTAGGATTTTTGGTATGGTATTTGGAAATGGGATATATACGCCCCAATATTCGATATTTTGAAGCTTTGGAGGTAGTTTTTCAGCCTAATTTGGTATTTTGGGTTCTCCCTGTGTACAAAATCTTCCTATAAAAACTTTCAATAATGGTCAACGTTTTACAAACGAATTCGTTATATTTTGATATTTGGGATTCTCATTGGCTAAAAACCCTCCATACTAAAAATTATCAATATGGGACCATGTTTCGGAGTATCCTTCATAGATCGGTACCTCCATTATTCGTTGTTTTGTAAATTGGGTCACGTTTTTCAACCAATTTTATATTTTGAATCTTCATTGGGCAAAAAATCTCCAATTTTTCATATTTTGATGGTTAAGGTTTGCACATAGGCTTCAAATAAAAGTACCGCTATTTTCGGTTGTTTTAAGGTTTAGCAGCATTTTCTGGGTTCTTTTAGGGTAGAACATATTTATGCGGAAAATTAACCTGTTTCTCATTGATCTGACTGTAATTTAAAAAATGACGCGACCCAATTTCTGTACTCTTAAGTGTTTATTATTTGGCATTCTGGATTCTAGATGAATATAAAACATTTTTTTTCAGAATGTTTCCAATTTAGGTTCATTACTTTTACAGAGCTCCCATACAACGACCCCGCATATTTTGGGTTTTCATTTTCCCATATAATCGACTAGCAGGCAATACCACAGTCACTATATGAAGTACCCTAGCCCGACCTTTTTAAAGGAAATTTTAATCAGGGTGCCAAAAATTCGCTCGGGAATGATTCAAAATACATTATTTTCGTTTTATGATAATTTTAAGAATGAATTTATGGCGATAAATTCTTTACCAAACGAACATTCGCCAAAAAATGTTCGCACACACATTACAAACGAGTGAGAGCACACAACAACGTTCTTTCTTTTCGTTTGGTGGTTGAAATTCTTTCTGACATTCTCTCACGAATGAAAACAAACATTCCCGAATAATTCTCGCAAATGCTCAAAACGGCAACAACAATAACAACAAACGTTCGAGAACTCAATAGTTGTTGGACATGTGTTTTGTTATTCCACACACTTTCTGCTACACACACATTCCTTCGTTGTTCGTGTGTGTTTTTATGATATTTTTGTTTGTTGTTGTTTTTAACAGTGCTCGCGAAAATTCTCAAACATTTGTTTTTTGAGTTTTTCAAAAGAATATTCTTCAGCAACAAATGCTCGCGAAAGAATGAATCGACGACGCTTGCAGCGAGATTTTATCGTTCGTGAATTTTTCGTACAATGCGAACATTCGCGAGAGAATGCAAATGCTTGTACATTCATTCTAACTTTATCATTCGCGATAAATTGAAAACATTAGAATTCTCGCCAGTGAGCATTCGTGAGAAAGAGCGTATTTTAATCATTCTTCGCACCCTGATTTTAATACATATAAGTTGTAAAATGTTTGGCCGTGCCGGGCTTTTTAATTGTATAAAATTTTTAGCAAAACTACCAACAATTTTAAAAAAATTCCAGAAAAAATAAAAATGCTAAAAAAGATGATTTGGTGCTAAACGAGTTTTAAAAGTGCTAAATTGGCAACACTGATTGTAAAGTATACTTTAGAAAAAGTTAAGGACCGAAATCAAAAATAAATATATTTTTGTATTTTAATTTTTTTTTTGATCATTTGAAAGTGATTTTAAGTGATTATTTATACTCTTTCGAGTCGAGCTTGATGATCTAAATTTTGCAATGAAAAGGAAAGCCAGGAGAAGAACCTACGTACCCACCATTATGCGACGCGTTTCGCCGTTGGTTAAGCGGCTCATCAGGCATATTGGGCTATGTGGCTTTACAAAGGTCGTACGTTGATAACTTGTATTTATTCCGCCCTGATGCGAAACTTGCATATGCGAATTAAATTCAAATTTGTCGAAGTTCGACATTTGTCTTCATTCTAGGAACAGTCCTTTTCAAAGCAGATTTTTGTTGTAGCGATGGATAATTAATCCACACACCTACAATTGCTTCCATGGTATACACATGTTTTTGCGCAACCGTTTTGGAAGTGTGTTGATGGCTCAGAACGTTAAGCGGTCTTGGCAACATTTGTGTTGCTCCGAGGACCTAGTTTCGAGCCCTAGCCGTGCTCGGCTGAAATTAATTTTTTTTGTTATTTTAATTTTTTTTTTGATCATTTGAAAGTGATTTTAAGTGATTATTTATACTCTTCTTATAGGGCTCGAACCTAGGTCCTCGGAGCAACACAAATGTTGCCAAGACCGCTTAACGTTCTGAGCCATCAACACACTTCCAAAACGGTTGCGCAAAAACATGTGTATACCATGAAAGCAATTGTGGGTGTGTGGATTAACTAATTAGAACTAATTGGTTTAAAAAACGTACTTAAACACCACAAAAAAACGAATAATGGGGGTTAGCATTATATGGGAGCTACCCGGAAACCTGGGCCGATGTTGATGATTTTTGGTAGAGAAATTTTCTACTCAATGAGAATTTAAAATATTAAATTGCTCCCAAATTGGTTGAAGCACGTTCTCTTAAAAACACCGATCTTTGGGATGTAACGTTATATTGGACCTCCCCAAAAATATTTATAATTTTTAGTAGGAAGATTTGCTATCATACCACAACCCGAAATAACAAATTACATCCAATTACATTGAAGCATGTGCCCAAAAATCTAAAATATTTAAATTGGGGTACCATTAGGTGGGGCCACCCTGAAACAAGGGCCTAAGTTCTCTTACGCAGATACCCAACATGAATCTAAAATACTAAATTACGTGTCTAAACCCCTTAAAATCTGCAGCTGATAATTTTATCAAAAATAGAGTATAAAATCCCCAAACTACTGCAATTTAAATTGCAAAATTATATGAGCCTGTGCCTAAAGGGGGACCAATATTGATTACATAGTGTAGTGTAGGAATTAGCGAATATTTGGGGTTATAATTATATGAGGGCTATGCCTAATTAATGCCCGATATATGTCAATTTCAAACCCAATATTTTAGTTATATATCTCAATTCGACCCTTCAAGAATTATCATAATATGGAGGGGATGCCTGAATCCTGTCGATATACATGAAATACAAATTTCAGAATTTTGTATGGATGGTTTTCCTAAAAACCCAAAATGTGGATTGACGACGCATCTTAGGATGGAACATCTCCAAAATGCTGCAATTTAGAGATTACAGTTATATAAGGCCATCACCACAGATTTTACAAAACGCGAAACAAATCAGATAACTATTTTAATTTAAAAAATGGGAGGGAGGTTCGTTACCATATACGACTACAAAAAACCAAATTACAAAGAATTTGGTTTAAAAACGCGTTCAAGAACCCCAAAATGCCGAAAAAGGGGGTATATGGGGGCTATCCGAGAAAATGGACCTATATTTATAATTTTTAGTAGGGAGATTTGCTACCCAATAAGAACTCAAAGCATCAAATCTCAGCGAATTCAGTTATAAAATGGGCCCAAGAACCCCACAGTACCGAAAATTGGGGATCCCTTATATGGGGATTATCCGAAAAAATTGACCCATATTTATAATTTTTAATAGGGAGATTTGCTACCCAATAAGATCTCAAAGTACCAAATTTCAGGGAGTTCGGTCGAAAAATGCGCTCAAGAACCTCAAAATACCCTCCACCATAGATATACTGGCATGTACTTGAAATAAAAATATAGGGAACATACCAAAAAGTGTACCTATACCGACATTTCTAACAACCGATTATGGTTCTAAATATTGGTCCTAGACCCCATGTTTCTTTTGACCAAATTTGTTTCAAATTTTTTTATTTTACCCAAACTTTGCCCATCTTATTGTTTCTTCCAAAATTAGTTCAAGTTCGAACATGGGGAATATCGGTCCACTTCTTCTGGTACCTCCCACACATATATATGAATATACAGTGAGTGTAATAAGTATTTTGCCTCAATACGAATTGGACAAAATTCCAATATATACGTCAAAATCCAGCATATTAAATATGTAAATTAAATATGTAAATATGGGGACATATTTAGATCTTATTTTTCTGCAAGAATCACCGCGAAAGACCTATTGGTCTCGAAGATATCGGCTAAAATCTATAACAACGCAAAAATGTTTATCAGAAAAAAGTATTTTGCTTTTTATTATTTTATTAGAAAATATAACTACCATAACTACCATTAAGGATAACAATATATTACAAGCGATTCGGTGACGATTCCAACAAACCGCGGAATTTTTTTCGAGAGTATTTTCTTATATTTAACGTCAATACATTCTCCAGCAATATTTTATGTCACATTTAGCCATTTCTCG